TGAGCACAATCTCGTCAAGTATTGAGAATAACATCGTCAAATATCGAGCACAATCTCGTCAAGAGAGCATAACCTGGTCAAGAATCGAGCACAGTATCGTTAAGTTTCGAGAGCAATGTCATCAGAACCAAGTACAATTTTAACAAGTATCGAGCACAATATCATTTTTATGTCGAGCACAATCTCGTCAAGTATCGAGCATAATCTCATCATGTATCTAGCACAATCTCGTCAAGTATCGAGCATAATCTCATCATGTATCTAGCACAATCTCGTCAAGTATTGAGCATAATCTCATCATGTATAGAGCACAATCTCATCAAGTATCGGGCATAATCTTAAAATGTATCGAGCATAATCTCATCATGTATCGAGCACAATCTCGTCATATATCGAGCACAATCTAGACAAGCATCGAATACAATCTCGACAATTAAGTATATCTAGTATTATTTTATTGAATATCGAGTACAATCTCGTCATATGTCCGACCACTCGACACATATCGACCACAATTTTATAAAGTATCGAGCACAGTCATATCAAGTACCGAGTTCAATCGCGCCAAGAAAAGAGCACAATTTCATCAGGTACTGAGCAAGATGTGATCATGTATCGAGCAACATCTCGATTGGTATCATGTATAATCTCTTCAAGTATCGAGAACAATCTCGTCCAGTTTAGAGTATAGGGTAACATGGGGAAGAGGGACCACTATCTGCGGGTCATTGGGCCCATAGCGGGTTTCTCGCTAAGTATGGCAGATATTGGTCCGTGTTCTCTACCGCCGGTCGACAGTTTCACTGGGATGAAGTTTATGGCTCTACATTTTGCTAAGAGATTACGTTGATAAATTACTTGCAAATAACTGGCTTAGCCCAGATAAAAGTATTTTTGGTGCTTAATAGAACCGTTTCCGATTACTCTATATAAAGTTTTTGAAATTACTGTGAATTACATTTTGAAAGTACTATTTATAGGTATAATTTTGAGTTCAAGTTTAGACTATCAACTTTTAAAATAAAATGTTGAAACGATATAAGTTGAAATGATACCTAGTGGGGCAACGGGCCCATGCTTGTCACGGGGCAAAGCGCACATGGAGGGCTCAATGCGCTTCTAGAAGTCTAGTGTTATACATCATTAGATCTGTCTCAATGAGCTCTTCAAAACCATGACTAGCTTTTTAAATTACACATTGCACTTCATATTGCATGATTTTTTTTTATTTGCCGCCTCAAGGCAGCAGGTTTTATTTTCCAGTTATGCGTGTTTATGACCCCTTATCGAGTTATTAAATCTTGCCTTGCCAAAAGTTGATTTCAACACCAATGAGCCAAAAGTTGATGAGTTTTCATTGTGTTGGCTGAAATCACGAATAAGTACGAATTCCCTGCACATAATATCTGGATTATGGACGAAATCGGAACGAAGTTTTTTTCTGATCAAGTAAATATATTTTTTCTAGTCTAGGATACATTTTTTCATGTCAAGGATGAATTTTTTATGGCAAGGATATATTTTTCAAGTCACGGATATATATTTTCATGTCTTGGAAATATCTTTTTCACGTCAGTGAATTTCAGGCCGAGAATATATTTTTTTAAGTTAAATATATGATATTTTACGTTGCTAATAAATGAATGAATGTAATATTTTTTATTATATTTTTCTTATTTTGAACTGTAATTAAGTGTTGGTTTGTAATTTGTAAACAAAAAATATGCAATTGGGGTAAAGGGACCAGCGGTGGGCGCCTTGCCCCAAGCCCATGGTCCCATTGCCCCAAGGGTGGGGCAATGGGCACATTTCGACAATTTTTCCAAAATAGTGTTTCATTAGAAATTGGGTAACCATATAGGCGTCTAATTAATTCACATCATTCATTCCTCATTAGTTGTAACTTTAAACATAACAAAGAACTACCTCGTATCAATTAAAACTTCATCAAAAATTTAGCTTAAAAAAGTAAGGGGGGGGGGGGTTCGCTTCCCCCATGTTACCCTACAATCTTATGGAGTGTCGAGCACAATCTTGGCACGTATCGAGCACAACCCCGTCTAGTATTAGGCAATCTCGTCAAGAATCGATCCAGTCTTATCAAGTATCGAGCCCTATTTCATTGAATATCGGGCATAATCTCGTTAGGAATCGAGCACAATCTCGTCTAGCATCGAGCACAATCTTTTCAAGTATCGAGCACCATCTTTTCAAGGTTCGAACACAATCTCGTCAAGTAACGAGCACAATCTTACCACGTATACCACGTATCGACAATCATATCAAGTGTAGAGCAATATCCCATCAAGTTTCGAGAACAATCAGATCAAGTATCGAGCACAAACTCGTCCATTTTCGAGCACAATCTCATCAAGTATCGCGCAAAATCTCATGAAGTATCGAGCACAATCTAGTCAAATAACGAGCACAATCTTATTAGTATCGAACGCAATCTCATCATGTATCGTGTAAAATCATATCAGCTATCGAGCAACATCACGTCAAATATCAAGCACAATCACGTCATGTACGTATCGAGAACAACCTCGATAAGTATCGAGCACGATCATATCAAGTATCGCGACCAAACTAGTCAGGTAATTAGTTCAATCCTGTCAAGTATCAACACAATCTTATCAGGTATTGAGTCAAGTATCTAGCTCAACCTCACTAAGTATCGAACAAAATCATTTCAAGTATCGAGCTTCAACTCGTCAAGTATATGGAACAAAATCTCGTGAAGTGTCGAACACAACCTTGTCAAGAATCCAGCACAATCTGTCAGAGTAACGAACACAATCTCGTCAAGTTCAGAGCATAATCCTATCATGTATCTAGCAAAATATCGTCATGTATCGAACATAAGTTCAACAAGTATCGACCACGATATTTTCAGGTATCGAGATTAATCTCGTCAAGTGTTGAGCACAATCTCGTTAAGTATCGAATACAATTTATCAGCATCGAGCAAAATCTTATCAAGTATCTAGGTCAATTTTTTCAGATATCGATCACAATCTTTTCGAGTATCGGGCCCAATCTTGTCAGGTATGGAGCACAATCTTTTCAGTATCGAGCACAATCGTACCAAATATCGTGCACAATTGTATCAGTAACATGCACAATTTCATCAAGTAACGCGTCCATTCGTTCAAATATCGTGTACAATCGAATCTCTTATCGTACGCAAGTTGTATCGAGTATCGTGCATGATCGTATCAAGTAGCGTTCCGCAGGATCGGAACTGACACTTGCGCCATCCTCATTTCGGAAGGTGTCAGCGCCGGGCGGTGCCTTATGTCCTTATGACCTTATGATGGGTTCGGGAGTTCCAAGTCCCCGGTCACGCTGGTGCGCCGCCTTCGTCGTCCTCCGTCTCCGAGTCGTCGCTAGGCAGGTCACGTCGCCCTCGGGTCCCGGTTAAACGTTGGACGTGTTCCGTCTATTTGCTCTCCTATGGGCCAGCTGATGCAAGATGCTGTTGGTTGTCACTGGCTGACAAGCAGTTTCCCATTACTGGACAATCCGGAATCTTTCTCAACCACTTGTCCAGTCGTCTCTTGAATGTTTCAAGGGTGAACTCCCCTCCTCTCAGCTCTTTTGGCAAGACATTAAAAAACCTCGGTCTTACCACGGACAGTGAGCCCTCACGAAGAGTCTGTACTCCGGCCGCGGCTCGGTTATTAAATGGGGGAACCCTGCACTGTCTCCCCCCTCCTTTCGTTGTTGTAACGTGTCACTATTCTGTAGGTCTCACTCTCAAAGTTGGGAGCCAGTCCGGTTATCAACTTCCAAGTGTACAGTATGATATATCTTTTTCTTCTCCTCTCCCGTGAGTACAGTCCCAGGTGTTTCAGCCTATCCCAGTAGTTCAGGTTTAGCTCCCTCATGCCGCTGATCCTGTACGTGAAGGTCCGCTGCACTGCCTCTAGTTTCCGCACCGCACCCGCCTTGAGTGGCGATCAAAGTTGGCAGCAATACTCAAGATTCGGGAGCACGAGGGCTCTGAAGAGTGTAATCATTGGTGCTGCTTCTCTCGTTCGAAATGTCCGCCATATCCACCTCATCCTTTGCCGGCTGCGCGCGAGTAACTAGTTGTTTCTCCTCGATTTCTGTGCCATCTGATGCCAAGTAGCGATGTGGCATCTCGATCTTTGTGCGGACTCTGTATCCCATTACTTCGAACTTGGTGCCGTTGAACTGCATATTGTTCACTAAGGTCCAATCGTAAACTGACGATAGGTCATCCTGCAACCTCTCGCAGTCTAGGTCATCTGTGATCTTCATCAGCACTCTTGTATCGTCCGCAAATGACGATGTAGAGGTGTGGGTGAGTTCCGAGTCAATATCGGCAATGTGGATGAGGAAAAGGATCGGTCCAAGCACTGAGCCTTGCGGAACTTCTCTTTTCACCTTCGCTTCTCTCAATTTCGAGTTTCCAATTGCGACTGCTTGTACTCCCTTGTGTAAGGAAGTTGTGGATCCACCTTAACAGGCTTCCTCCTACCCCCAACAGCCTCAGCTTTGGTGCCAGGGCATGAAGCTGCCTATGTGCTGTGGTACCAGCGTAGAGCGGTGCCAGTCTTAACTGCTCGCTCTTCCAGCGCGGTCTGTGGTGCCTGGCGTGTTAAGAAAATTTTGTTGTCCCGTCTGGAGCCGCACTATTACAAATACTTTCGATTTTTTCCTCTTATACACTGCAAAGATGGGTATTTTCATTTTTGAACCTTTGTTTGTGAGTGGATATCTTTTCGCTGTAAATGTTCAAGGGGATGCTCGAGAGCGTACCACGACATTTGTCGTGCCGAGATATTACGTGTGAATTTCAATTTCTCTTTAATTTAGAATCAAAGGCTTCTTACAAAATATGTGGTGGAAGAAGATTTTGGTTTACTACCTTACCCTAGATTCAATTTATTGAATTATTAAGAAAAAAGTGCAACTTTTTTAATTACCTACTGAAACATTTATAATAAAAATTATTAAAATAACAAGTCTCATAACAGGTGTCCTCCCCGCGGTTACAAGACTTATTTAATTTCGTTGCAGTAATTTTTGTAGGTCGAAAATTGTATTAAGCTAGAAGGCGTTCGAGCAGTCGTCATGCGGCAGCTTTTTGGCAAAATCTTCTTCGCGGGCCTCATCACTTCGGTACGTGGGCCATGAACTTCATTTTCTGTGTTCTAAGATTGAATTTCCCTTGGTTACTACTGCATAATAATCATATTTATTACAGTAATATTTAATGCCCATGTATCATATCACAAATTTTGATTAAATTAAGTGCATTCTCTGTTATCGAACCTGCATGAACGAATAAATTATGCCTACTAATTCTAAAATACTCAACTAGCAGGTGTCAAACTCAGACGTTGAGCACATTGTTACGGCGGGTAATGTGCGGTAATGTGCGCACTAGCCGAGTCCGTATTGCCGCAGTGATCGCCAAACCGCGAGGTTGTCATGAATTACGATAGAGATGAACAAATTCATATTGACGCGGTGCACGGAGAAGTTGAATACTTTACCTGGGGGTTTTCGTCACTGTTACGTATCTGCTGCTCTTTTGTTTTCGTTCAATTCTCGACGGTTGGTTTGAACTTCGCAACCATCCAAATTCGTTACTGCCAAAATCCGTTTTGTCCTTTTTTCCTGCGCATTGATGACTTTGATTCTTGCAGCCCATGTTTGGGGAAATAAAAAGATTCTTTCCGTTGAGAGGCTCTCCTTGTTCATAAATTCACCAATTGCTTCATATAACTGCGAATTTTGAAATCTTATTATTTGTACATAAAAAAATAATATATATGTTAAAGTTATCATTATAGCTATTATGATTAGCATATTAATAATAATAGGTGCTATTAATCAAAGAAGTGTAACCTTTTTTATGCCAGGTGTCAATTAGTTTTCCATTCGCGGGAAAAATTCCAAAATCTCTGAATCCTAGAGATCTAAGATCATTAACTAAAATCATATCCAAATACATTTCGAGGCAAAATTATTTAGAGCTTTCTCAGCCAACTATATTGCTTTCAGCGCCGATGATTTTTTTCAGTCTTTCACAATCACTCAGTAGATCAAACACATTTGTGAATGTTGATCTATCACTGAGACAATTCTTTTAATTTTTGAGAAGACATTAATTTTTGGTTTCTAATGAATATCTTTATATAGTCATGCTTTTGTGCATCTTTCTCTCCGTAGATATGGAGATAGATACTGCTCCATCTAGTATGCTAGATGGAGCAGGAGTATGCCTGCCAAGACGCAATCACAATTGACGACTTATATGTCAAGAGATGATAGTCAGACAACTTACTCAGCACCAGATATATTATTGAATACTATTTCAAAAACTTAAAGAAGAACTCAATGATTAAATAATTAGTGATTGCTCCACACTCTCTTTTAGCTTGTAATCACAATAATAAGCTGTCGTAAATTAGGGCAATTATGGAAAACTGACAAACTGTACTTTTAAATGCTAAGTGAAATATTTTTCATATTCTTGTTTTATTTGATTTTTTTTATTTTATTGCACAATATTTTGATATTTTCATATAAATCATCCTATTACACCATCGACTTTGAATTTGCCATATCCTCAAGCTCACTAATTTGTTCTTGATTATGATTGATTAGTGATTGATTATGATTTGTTGCTACTCATACTCATTCCGTCTCTACATCCCCAAATTTATATTTTGCTCTAGCATTCGCATACATACTTCACTCAAATCTCACACATTTTTCACTTATTCCAATTTTTCCCAGTGTTTGACACAGAAGCTCTCTATCCACCCGCTCATACGCTTTTTCTATGCCTAGAAAAGCCAGGTACATTTTCTTTCCATTTCTTTTCATTCTCCCGATCAGTTTATTCATAACATATATATTATCTTCTGATCTTCTCTCATATTTAAAACAATGTTGCTCTTTACCAAGCACTCTTTCGTTCCTCATACATCTTTGCATGAGCTCATGCATAACCGCACAGAAAATTTTACCTCTGCTGTCAGCAGGAGCAAACGGCCTGTAATTCTTGAGTTCTTTCTTGCTCTTGTGGCCTCCCTTGTGTAGCAAGGTTACCTGACTTTCATTCCAAGTGTGACGGGATGCATATTATGTGATATTTTTTGTATGACTAAAGAATGCGTAGGCATATTTTTATTTCGTGACTGAAATAGGAATCTCCTTTGCAGTGATATTATCTGTCAGTAGCGTTGCGTTGCAGTCGTCTGCGAAGCGCCACGCGTCGTCTGCTAGCCCTGACACGTTTAGACTTATTTCTTTGATGTGTTAATTGTAAGTTGACTTATTCACTTTAATGTGCAAATATTTTGAAAAAGGACTTTATTCTTATATGATAATTGTAATGATTTGCTGTTGTGCGAGAATCAGTGCTGTCAACCTACGATACTATCGTTAAAGTAAAGACGACTACGTCGCCATCTTGCGTAAGGAAAGCTAGACATCTTAGAGGCAGATGTGCTATAAGAAGTCGATTATAACTTGTAGTCATGTTGTCAAAAGGTTAAACTCTTTGTTAATATGATTTTATTAGGTGATAATACTTCTCATTGTATTGGATAATGTTTAGTCAATGTTCATTTGTCTAGTCTATTTACGAACTGATATCGACTCACGCGCTCGCGAGTTAATCATCCTCGAGAGATATTCTATCTTATATCAACTTTCACATATCATTACTTGACCAAAGGATTATAATATGATTCTATTTTATTGTAATATACTATATTATCTATTTTTTTGCGTATAGACAATTTTATTAGCCAATTTCTTGCACTTTGTAAACGGGGTGTTGATGTAAGCTCATTTTAGCTGAGTTAACCCTTGCGGGAAAGTTGTGTTTGCTCAGTGGTACTGTGTTGGTCGGCATCTCGGTGCGGTTAGTTCCCGTACCATTTGCTGTCCGTTTTTGTAATTTGGCAGTGTAGTAGGGATAGAACCCCTAATCTCTGCGGTTCGTTGTAGGCATCTCGGTGCGGTTAGTTCCCGTACCATTTGCTGTCCGTTTTTGTGATTTGGCAGTGCATTAGGGCTAAGAACCCCCTAATCTCTGCGGTTCATTGTCGGTATCTCGGTGCGGCTAGTTCCCGTACCATTTGCTGTCCGTTTTAGTGATTCTTGTGGTGCATTAGGGCTAGAACCCCTAGTCTCTGCGGCTGGTTGTTGGCATTTTGGTGCGGCTAGTTTCCGTACCATTTTCTGTCCGTTTTGTGATTATTTGCAGTGCATTAGGGCTAGAACCCCTAGTCTTTGCGGCTGGTCGTTGGCCTCTTGGTGCGGCTAGTTCCCGTTCCATTTGCTGTCCGTTTTGTGATTCGTTTGCTGTGCATTAGGGCTAGAACCCCTAGTCTCTGGGTTTCATTGTCGGCATCTCGGTGCGGCTAGTTCACGTACCATATGTTGTCCGTTTTCGTGATTTGGCAGTGCATTAGGGCTAGAACCCCTAATCTCTGCGGCTGGTTGTTGGCATCTCGGTGCGGCTAGTTCCCGTACCATTTGCTGTCCATCGTTGTGATTCTTTGCAGTGCATTAGGGCTAGAACCTCTAGTCACTGTGGCTAGTTGTTGGCATCTCGGTGCGGCTAGTTCCCGTACCATTTGCTATCCATTTTGTAATTCTCAGCTGTTTATTAAGGCTCATTCTGTGTGGTTTCTCGGCTGTTTGAACTCTTGAAGTGTCAAGCCTTTTCTGGGAACTTTTGGACTAAGACGAATAATAAATTTTGCGCCTCGTATGAAGAAACTTGTAATTTGCCTGGAGATTACCAGTATACTACGAAAAGTTTCTTGTGTTCATTCCTCCTTTCTCCAACTCACGGGAATTTAAAGCCGGACCGAAGAGCGACTCTTTAGCCCTCGTGTTTAGGATCAGTACGAAAGTCTATACCAAGTCAGCACGCTACCCGTAAATATTTCAACTTCGCGGCGGTGTTTCCGGTTACACACGCCTCAGGTGCACACTCATTTGTCCAAACAACATTGAACACAGATCAGTCATTTTGCCAATCGCACTCTCACCTCCATACTTATACATCTCATATGGTATCTCATCCCTTCAAGCTGACTTATTGTTCTTCAATCGCTTTACCTCTAGTTTCACTTCCTCATTTGTAATTTCCTCGTCTATGCCACTGAGATTTTTACGTTCTAATGAAACAATATTTGCACTTGGCGTAAATAAGTCATTCATCCCACCAATGTCTTCCCATGCAGAATTTCTTCACAGCTTCCGCCAACATTGTTCGTTCAGTTACATTCTACTTTCAGCCCATCTACTCTCAGATCACCTTCCCGTTTGTCCCCTCGTAGGAGGGCATACCATTTGCGTCCACCTCTCTGTCCCTTCATAACAAATTCATTTATTCTATTTCGCTCATACTCAACAATATGATTTCTAATGATAGTTTTGGTTCGTCTCTGTTGTTCTTCATTCCTCAGCCATGCTTTCTGATATTCCTGCTCACAATCCTCACTCTCATGCCTCTTTTTCTGAAGTTGCCTGCAAACTTGATTACATCTCTTTCGTTCATTTTTTTAAAACTCTCACATCATTACGCCACCAGATTTCATTCATTCTTCGGCTTTTGCGTTTATTCCTAGCTGTCCTTGTATATGCAGTCCTTACCGCCTCGTTCATACATTTCTTAAGTTGTTCATTCTTACCATTCACATCATTTGTCACTTCCCATTCTGTATCAATAAGTTTCGCACTAAAATTATTTCAGTCCACACCTTTCACTTGCCATTTACATTACTTGTCAGGCTCTCTCACATGTGTATCATGCATTTTCAACTCACTAACAAGCATATTATGATCACTTCTGATATCAATCACACCAGCTTCATCCACCCACATGCACATCACTTTTCTTCTTGCATTCGCATTTACCAAAATATAATCAATTGCTGAACAGTTTTCCCTATTGTTCCAGGTCACCTTCCCTTCAGCCATTATAACATTCAGGTTTTCAAATTAATTTTAAAACACAAACTCATTCAGAAGCTCTCCCTCCATTTTTGTTTACAGGCTCTCCTAGTACACTACATGTCTCCCATATCTACTATTATCTTATGGCTATATTCATCAATGGCTATTTTCATCAAGCACTTTCTTTATACAGGCATACTTTTCTCTGTTCTCACGCTCAGACCTCACTCCCTACACAATCATGTAACATACGATCATCACCACTTGAAACCCTTCCATCCTTTCAGACTTAGTTGTTGCATACTCGATCTCTACAGCAAGTATATCCTAGCTCATCTCGCTTTCACCAACACTTGTTTCTTCCACGCCATAGCCTGCCTCCATACGTACAATAACTCCAACTCTCCCCGACCCTTGTTTGTTGCTTTTTCCTTCCCTTATTAAACATCTCATACTTCCCGCTTTTTAAACATCCATTCCCTCTCATTTGAGTTTCAGTTATTCCTCCTATATCCATCTGATGTGCTTCCAACTCTTTACACAAATCTTCATTTTTTCCAAGACCCATGCCCTGATATTTATCAGTCCCACTTGCATCATTTTCGTATTGTTAGTTCTGGTCACATCCACACTCTTTCTGTCTGTTCACACGTTACTTAAGAAGGTTGGCTACATATATAAATGCTGTGTTGAAGATTGTGGCATTTGTTACTTAAGAAGGCTGGCAATATTTATGACTGTTGTGGTGAAGATTGTGAAATTTGTTATTTTAGAATGCTTGCAACACATAGCTGCAGGTAGTCTCGTTTCAGTATAGTCCCGATTTTCCGATAATTTTGAAAATTGTCCCGATTTTTATAATTTATCGTGACAAATGGTCACGTATCGTCTCGAATAATAAAAGCTCCAAGCGAGTCTATGACATTGGGACGCATGCCGGAGGCCTGCTTTGCCAAATTTCACACTCAGTTCATTTTATTTCCGTAGGTAAAAAACTAGAGGGCATTATAGCCTATGAAGTCAAGTACTCAAAGCCTTAGCGCCGGATGTCCACAGCCCCACAGCCGCAAAATAAACTTGCTAAAGCTAAGCATGGCCATTCTACATCTGGCCACGCCTCTTCCGGCCTAACCTACACAAATTGCAACATTTTTCCACCCAAAACAAACCTAGTCGGACCTATCCTAACCTCATTGGCTGCAGAAAGTTAGAAAGGTGGTCCAAGTGTGCTGATAGAGCCAGCCGTTGGCTGCAAGAAGGTTGTGAGCTGGGACAGCGTGCATAGGTTAGGCCAGAAGAGGTTAGGCCGGAGTAGGTACGGTCGGATGAGGAACTGCCAGCTTCTGAGCGATCATGCTTGAGCATTGGCTGAAGGCCTACGGTGCTATTACCTTTCGGCATTGAGACTCTTGTCTACATTACGGAGTTCAAGCGCAGTCTGGTTACGAAGTTCAAGCGCTTCTAGCTCTATGCTGGTTAAAGTTAATGCATGGTGAAGCTGGACGTGGGCTCCAGGGCTTTTATAGAAGTAAAACTTGTGGCCTACGGCTGTGCCCCATGACATAAAGGAGCAGGACATTTTGACGGCTGGAAGACGATAAACTAAAAAGGAAATTTTACCATTAAATAAAGTTTACCTCAAGCATCACTCTCTAGAAAACATTGATACTTTATCATGAAATTCACATGTTCAGTAAAAGTGAATATTTTCTTTAATGAAACTCTTGAGATGAGTCAGCCTTAAATAATTATGGAATTTCAAAATGCAAATGCTTATTTTCCTTTCAATACATACAGAATTCACTTATTTCGGCTTCTTCTATTTAAATTCTTCCAGTGAATGATATATATGATGGTTAAAGGAGCTTTAAACAAAAAATTAGTATTGCACTAAACAGCATGAAAATATTAAGATCGCGATTTGCAATTTCAACCCGCACAAAACATAGCCCCAAACCATGTTAATCGACGGCTAGCCGTAAAATGATATTAGTATGTGGACATAAGTTTACTTTATTTGAATAGCGCATTTCTAACGCATCTTATTGCAAGCATTATGATTAACACGACTAATGTAAACTTTGAACAAGCGTGAGTCAGAAGCTGTTCCCCATTTTCGCCCTAACGTCTTTTGTGTTGCAGATGACGTGTCTTGGACTCGTTTGGGCATCGATTCCTGACAGCGTAAGTACAACGGGCCGGGTCACCGTGTCTCCTGTTGTGAACATTTTGTTATTGAACATTCTTAATTATTACCTTTTTGATCTCGGCAACCTTTCCCAACAATTGAACTGCTGATTTTGACGTATTAATTATGATAATGAATGTACATGTTATTTAATTGGTGTAATTCGGCAGAAGTCTTTATTTTTTGCAATTTTGTTTGAAGACCATGAGCATTATTTCTATTAACAATCTCCTAAGTTGTTTTTTCAATCAGTCAATTTCAATTTCAACACTTGAAATTAAACTTTGGAAATTACAGTAGTACAAATCACGGGCATTATGGATACAATTTGAAATTCAAGCTTAAATTTACTCTGAAAATTCTTTCAGCGCCCTGATGAATCCTTTAGTTTTATGGTTGATAGCTGGAGACTCGCTCTTGATGATGAGAGCCTCAGCACTCGCCAGGCTCGAAACATCAGGCGATAGCTGAGGTCCTCAAGAGCGGGTCTCCAGCTATCAACCTCCAAACTACAGGATTCATCAGACCGCTGAAATTATTTTCAGATTGATTTCAAGCCTAGATTTCAAACTGAATCCAAAATATTATGATTTGTACTACTGTCATCTCCAAAAGTTCAATTTCAGGTGTTGCAAAACTCTTCCCCTGTTTGATAATGAATATTGTATATTGGAAACGCTGCATTCCAGTAAAATTTCGTTTCATAACCTGCTTTTTCTTCCGGCAACAGCAAGAAATTTTGTTCGACTCAGTGAAAAATCAAATAAGAAGATTGTTAATTGTTGTTGGCGAAAGGGAGCCGGTATAGATGCAGTGTACCTCGATTTTGCCAAGGCATTTGATAGTGTCCTTCATCAGCGGCTGTTGCGAAAATTGTAGTCTTTGGGAATTGAGAGTAATGTACTCAATTGGATCAGAGATTTCCTATTAGGGAGACGACAATGTGTCAGTATAAAAGGGATCGTGTCAGACTGTGCTTCAGTGCGCAGCGGCGTGCCACGAAGAAGCGTCCTCGGGCCTGTTTTATTCGCTGCGTTTATAAACGATCTGCCAGAAGCTGTGTCTAGCGTGTGCTCGATGTATGCTGACGACACAAAAGTTTATTACACAGTGAAAAATACGTGCCAAAAAAATGCAGTTGCAAGGTGATCTTGACAGGTTAGTGGACTGGGCTGAGAAGTGACAGCTGCGTTTTAATGCTGCCAAAATTAATGTAATGTAATCCACCTTGGCTAGAACAATGAACAGCAAGATTATAAGTATGAGAAAACATGGTTGTAACGACAGAGTGGTGATGCCGAAGTCGGCAATGGAAAAAGACTCAGGAGTTGATGTCGACAGTGAGTTGAAATTTTCTAAGCATATTGAAGGTCAAGTTAATAAAGCCAATAAACGACTTGAACTGGCCAGACGCTCTTACGCGTACCAAGATGCAGAAGCGATGAAGATGTTGTATATTGTTGTCGTACGTCAGAACCTAGAATTTTGAAATGCCGTGAGGTCACCAAAACTAGAAAGGGCAAAATTTTAGTGGAGTGTTCAGAGACGTGCAACTAGGATAATTCCGAATTAAAAGGGAAGCCTTATGAATAAAGATTAACGATTATGAAGCTTCCAAGCCTCTATTGTCGACGTTTGCGTGGTGATCTCATTGAAGTATACAAGTAAACCCACGGTTTACACAAGGTCCCAGAAGGAGTCCTAGAATTTGAAACAAGAACCAACACCAGGGGCCACGTCTATAAATTAAAAAAAAAACAACATTGTAACACATCCATGCGACAACATTTCTTATGGCTTCGAGTCACCGACATGTGAAACAGCCTCCCTGATAGCATCGTTGACTCTCCGAGTATGAACATCTTCAAAAACAGACTAGACGAAGCTATGCAGGAGCATATGATCAGTCATGAATGCCCAGCAACTTACGGACCAGGCAATAAGTCCAGCAGCTATCTCAATCAATCGTCATTTATGGGAAATTCGGGTTCCAAAGGGCGGATCCCTTGCGGAATCAAGTCACGAAATGTACAAGAAACGGCAATAGGTCATAGGCCTATTTTTTCAGTGCCGAAAATTCTATTCTGTTATCATAAAAAGCATTCTCTGGTCTTCAATCAAACTTGTTATTTAATTGGTATTAATGAGAAATTGTTGAGGCCCGTAGAATCTTTGAGTTTGTGGCACATTATTTCACGAGTGAGTTCAACAATGAGGCATTAATTTGCAAACTCTGTTATTTTTAAGTAGACAAATGGATAGTGAGATAGCATTCGTCTCCCTAGTTCATATAATTCATTTAGCGGAGATACAATCACAGTAGATCAATTTATTGATCAATTACTGCAGCAATACCTGAGGAAATTGGGGTAAACTTAATTATTTCCCCCAAAATTGCGTAAATTATAGTTGTAGGTAAGCATACGCAAACATTTGACAAAAAAAAATAAAACTAAGAAGTTGTTAACCAATTTCTCTCCAAATGATGATAATTTGTTTTCAATTTTTTTTGGCTTATTGCATTTGATTCAAGATCAGGATTACATCTTCCGTTCGCCCGCAGGTCAACTTGGCTCCACGCGCGGCTGGTCCGCTGGACTGTGGACGCGGAAAATCCCGGACCCCGATATCTGTGAGCTTCAGGACTCTGGTGGTGCCGGGGCGGAAATCTGTTGTGGTGAGCATTCAAATTAAAGGTAGATACGATGGGACCAAGTACCTCTGAAATTCGATTTCATTCGTCCGTGAATTCTGCGGGAATTTTGTGTTCTGAGATGCATTTCTGAACGTTGTAGAGAAAGTGTAAGAATGATGGCAAAACATTCGTTTGGAGAAAATAAGTTGAATGGAAAAGTTCTCATAATATTTCGCGTGGTAACAGCTCAATATCAATATCGTGCAGCTCTCTCAATAGTTGTTGTTTTCAATTAGCTTGGTGAATTGTGTTATTTAGGTACTGTACATGAAATATTAGATTCGTGTGAACTCAACGTATGAAAAAATTTGTTATCATGGTTTTATTGAGCCATTTCCTTCAGACTTACCGTCGTCACTCACTCACCGCGGATTTATTGACCTCCGCCGTCAATAGGACCCTACTGCTGTCAGCGAAGGATGTGGTAGAGTGCGCGAGAAAGTCGGCCTTAGCAGGTGAGAATCTTGCAACGAAACGATCCTGCAGCGGAGAAAATGTCGACCTTAGCAGCTAGTAACCCATAGGCGAGAATACTACTTCCATGAACGTATAATTTCAATCGTGATACTGTAGGTCTTGACAAATCAGGAACCCCCGAACGTACCTATCGGCGTTTTACGCGTTGCGAGGGGGAAGACTTGAAACTTGGTTGTGTTGGTCTAGAAGAGCCGTTCATTTTTTTATTATATTTATTTACCTACTGAATGGCATGTCGTGTCAGTTTTACTTTGAATTTGTGTGTATATCGTCCAGTTATTATTTGTATAATGTCGTCTGCAAATGCTTTATACTCTGTGTTGGAGAGTGGCGGAGGGAGACCGTGGGTTTAAAAGCTGTAGAGGAGGGGTGAAAGACAAGCCCCTTGGGGTGCGCCTGTGTAATTGTAGAGGGGGACCTATGTGGTTGTCTATTCTGATTGATGCTGTTCTGTTGGTGAGGTAGCTTGGAGTGTTTCTATAAATGACGAGCGCATTGCAAGATTTTGTTGCATTAATTTTTATTACTGTCCGTTGTGCCAGACCTTGTGAAGTCACATCAGGAGGCACTATGTCGATCGTTTGTCGTTGTGCCAGGTGTATGGCGATTGTTTCGTGGAATGTGGCTAATGCTGTGTGAGTTCCCATGTATTTCCTGAAACCGTATCCTCTGGTGTTGTATGTGTTGTGAATGGTGAGGTGTTCTCATAGTCTGTTGCTGAACATTTTATCTAAGAGCTTCCTGCAGATGTCCAGTAATGAGTTGAGTCGGTTGGTTTGGAGAGGAAGACCATGATGACGTATTTTAGTGAATCGGGGAAACAACTAACGAAGATGCCGTGATTTAACTTGTTTAGTAGGTAGGGGATCATGTTTTTGATTAGGTGTTGCGTTGGAGTGTTGTGATGCCTGTGCATGGGCCGAACTTGTTTGACTGTTTTTAAAGTGTGCTGAAATTCTTCAATAGTGTTGGGTGGGTCGTCAACTGAGTGAAGTCGGGTTAGGTTGACATGATTGCATGGATGAATGAGATGGTATGTATTGCTGTTCACCGAGGTCTTGCATGGTGTGGATGTGTTCGAGGTAAAAGACTTCGTTGTTATAATGTCGTTCGGTGTTAATATGTTTTACATATGTATATGCAAAATAGGTTCTTTCTATTCTGGAGTGGCATGCTGTGTGTTGTATTAGAGTTATGAGAGGGCCTGTCATGTGTTGGAATCAAGTATGCGCTTTATTGAAGATCAGAACTTTATAAGATTTGTTTGTTTTCCCAGTGTTGATGAAGTCCTGTAACGTCCGTGTAAGGAGGTATCTGAATGCAGTGTGTAGTTGTTCGCAGAGGGTGATGAGGTGTCTGTTTAGTGCTAATGATGAGTCGTAGGTGTGGATGTATTGGAGAGTGTCTTGATATTGTGTTTGGATGAGCAGTGTCTCGTGGGTGGGAAAATGCCGGGAACAGTGCAGTGTGTTATGTGGGGAATTAGAGCTTCGGTGGCGTTCTATACGTGTTTTGTCAAATATTCTGGAAGTTTTTCTATGTGTAATAGTACTGGGTCAAATTGTGTAGGTACTGTATGCTGTAATAGTGATTTTGTACAAGGTCCAGTTTACTCTATGGAAGGATCTGCGATGACACAAGGTTGTGGGTGTTGACAGTTGTAGAGTGGGGGCCGATGTGTGTACAATAGCTTTGGGCTATTAGAGAATGAAGTTGTATGTCAATGAGGCTGAGGTCACTGTTTCCTAATGTTGTGTGTCGGGCTCTTAAATCTGCCAGGAGGCAGACGGGATGTGGCCTGTTCAGTAGTGTATGGAAGTCGAAGTAGTTAATGTACTCTGTGCGTGGTGGGATGTGTGTAGTTCCTATTGTGATGAGTCTTTGTTGAGTGTCAAATATGACCAGCATGTCTGTGTAGAAGTGTAAAACACAATATCCTCGATATCTTCTTTACTAACAAAGAAGAATGATGGTGGACGTTCGGGTTGAAGAGACATCACTGTGCGACCACTGCCTGGTGATGGTGGAAACTACATTTGGAGCTGAAACCCAGTCCAGGGTTATACCCCAAAAGGGACTGGCAGGGCTTAGCCCTTTACCACCTGACATGAGTAACCGGAGCAATATTGTAACGAGCCTACTTCTCAAAAAGGGTGCGTTGCTAGTGAGCGCAAAATGATTTGCACTGATGGTTGCCGCCACGTAAAACAACTTTGAGATGTTCTCTGTTGCCTATAAACGTCCTCAGGCTGTTACACTCCATAGTTTACGTATAACTTAACTTGAAAGTTATGTTTCCGGAGATTGACATACGGCGGGAGAGGGTTAACTTCTACCGTTGAAGAACGGATTGGGTAGCAATTTGGAATGAACTTGACGAAACTGATTGGAGAGAAGAGTTTCCTGAGAGGAAGGAAGAAGGAATTTACACAAAACTATGTGAGAAACAAACACAGATGTGTGCATCATATCCCGCTAAATACGGGCCCTAAAGTCCGCAGCATTACAAGAGACCAATGAATCGTCATGGGAAAACGCACACGATTGAATAACCAAATAGCTAAATCCACTAGCTATCTGAGTGGACAGAGACTATTAGTGCTCCAAATGGAAACCGAACGCGGTTGCTGGGCTCGCAGAGGACGTATGAATTAGCTGTCAAGGAACGAGTAGTTGTGGTCATCATGGAGAACTCTAAGTATTTTTTTAAATATGCTCATTCCAAGGCTAAAATAAAGACACAAGCGGGCCCGCCGTAGGGTAACGATATCCTTGCCAGAGGTGACCAGAGTATGTGTGACTTACTGAGATCGCAGTTTAAATCAGTGTTCAGTAAACCCCGCTCCTCAAGACAAGCGAATGAAATCGAAATTCTCCAGGAGCTGCCAGGCGGAAAAGTACTGACGACGTTTTCAGTACCATGACCCGATGGAATTCCGGCAGTGCTATTGAAGAAGTGTGTTGGAACACTGAATTGCTTTTGGCTCTGTTAAACCTCGATGTTGGAGGGAATTATTCCTGAGGGCAACAAAAAGAACTGATAACGCCAATCCAAAATGGAGGTCCGAGGGACAGACCCCAAAATTACAGACCTGTGACCTTGACCTCACCGGTGATCAAGGTTTTTGAGAAGTTATTGGCAAGGAGTCCTGTCCAGTGAATGGAAGAGGCTGAACTGTATAAGAATGGTAAACACTGTTTCCGGTGAAATCGTTCCCATTGGTCATGGTTATTGGAGCGCCATCACCATCTTGTGGCCCTACTGGAGGAGGGAGCTGTCGTGGGCGTAGTACGTATACATGGACTTTGTTAAAGCTTTTGACAATGTTTACCATGGGGTGCTCTTCAGAGAGCTGAAGCTGTTGGAGGAAGCCTGTTAGGTCGAATCCACAATTTTCTTACAGATAGAGTACAAGTCGTCGCAATCGGAGATCGAGAGAAGCGAGGGTGAAAAGCGGAGTGTCACAGGACTCGGTGCATGGACCGATGCTCTCCCTCAACCACATCGCCGACGTCGACTTGAGCTTGCCTACGCATCTAAATCGTTATTAGCGGACGATACATGAGTGCTGATGAGGCTCACAAATGACCAGGACTGCGAGAGGTTACAGGATAACTTGTAGACAACCTCCGATTGGGTACTAGTGAATAATATGCAATTCAAAGGCTCCAATTTCGGTTGTAATGAGATAGAGTCGACACAGAGACCGGGATGCCACATCGCTACTTGGCATCGGATGGCACAGAAATTGAGCAGAAGCAACTTTTTCGAGATTTCGTAATGTTCATTAATATCGAAGCCACCCAGCAGGCAATGTCAGGTTGAATCAACTTTAAACAAAAAAACTCACGACGTTGCGATAATGTTGGATATTAGTTTAGAATGAAAGTTGTATCAACGTCCTTCTTTCAACGTCGTACATTTCGACGTTGTTTCAACGTCGAAATAGCATTAAATTCTGATTTTAAAATCGCATATATGTTTCCCGATTTTATCGTCAGATCTGAGCGCGATCTCAACGTCGAAATGTCCGTCGTTGAGAAAACGATGTTGATTAAATTTTCATTCTAAACTAATATTCAACGTTATTGCAGCGTCATGAGTTTTGTTGTTTCAACGTTGATTCAACCTGACATCTCCTGCTGGGCACGTTCGATGACCACAACAAGGAAATATTGGCGCGAGTCAGACAACGGATAAAGGGGATTTGGCAGAAATTTTTAATGAGAGAAGCAGCGCCAATGATTACACTCATCAGACTCATCGTGCTCCCTGATCTTAAGGACTGTTGCCAGCTTTGGACTCCGCTTAAGGCGGGCGCGGTGCGGAAACTGAAGTCAGCCCAGCGGACCTTCACGTTCAGGATCAGCGGAATGAGAGAGCTAGAGCTGATCTACTGGGGCAGGTTGAAACACCTGGGACTACTCACTGGACAGAAGAAGAGAGAATTATATTGTATTGTGCACTTGGAAGTTGTAAACCGGAGTGTTATTGTAAATGGCTGATAATGTAAATATTTTATTTTGCCAGTGTCGGACGTTGTGTTGTGGTATCTTTATTGAAACCATAGCCCTCATGTCTGGCGCGTCTATTTGTATTTCAAGAATTATTCTGTCAGTTTGATTTGTGCGGTATTGGTGAAAGTGAGGCTGTGTTAAGGAATGCTTGTTTATTATATTGCAGGTTTGTCTGTTTCTGTGTATGTGTGTTGAGTCTTCTGTGATTCTTGGTCTAGTGTTGTTTTTTCGTGAAAGCTTTTTTCTGTTTTCAGTTGGCGGCTAGTGTGTTGTTCCTGTTGGTAATTGAAAAATTTTAAAATGTATTTCTGCAATGTGTGTAGGTGAGGTCGTAAGATGCACACTCATAGCAGGATTTTATAGTGGCGGTTCATAGGTGTAGGGTGGTCTTCAAATTCAAAACATTTGTAGGAGGTAAGGATATGGCTCTATTCCTTTTGCACTGTGAGAGCTGATTAGTACGTCAGTAAATCGATGGCTTAGTCGTCGTCCGTAATTAACTGCATAATTGCCCTGCAAGAAAACTTCATGCTACCTGCTGTATAAGTTTGGAACTGTCAAATGCGTGAAGGAAACGGATACTCTTAATATTCAATTGGAAAAATAGTTAACGGCATCGTCAATTCTACAACTCAATAATCTTGTTTTTCGCCTGATCTCGCAGTTGAATGCCAACACCCATAATGAAAGAAATTGTCGAAGTCAGAACTCTTTTGCTCAATTGTGTTTAGTAGCATTGAACTTCATTCAGTGCCAATTATCAATTACACAAACAAGTTTATAATTATCAAAAGATCGATAACTCAAATTGTTGTTAACTTCCATAAGATATATATTTTGTCCATCAAAATTTGATATTATTTGGAGAATCTTAAGAGCGATCAAGTTCGAAAATCGCACTTCTGGAAGTGTGTCCTCGTAGGTAGCTGTTTTGTCTGCAGTTGCAAAGCTTTCCATATAAGGCTCAAACAACGCGTGTTGAAACAATATTTATAGCAACAGATCTTGGTGTTGAAGTAACCTATTTTTTCAGATATGGCTGCATTTTCATTCGAAGGAAACTGCACGGCTTTCACATTCCGAGAGAAATTATGTAACTGTCTTTGGGGGGCCAAAGTCATTTACTTGACGGACTCCTCTATCACACCTCCTAAATTCGTGAACTCGAGTAAGTCATTGCGGTGGTTAGCTTAGTGATCTGTGGGTGAGTGCAACAACTTCTTAGCAATATTGGGTCGAAATTATGTTGGCGCAGCCAGCGTGAGGCAACTCAAGGCATCGATAAAATCTATCGATCAAACCCGAATTCATATTGCTTTGTTTGTTATCATTTTTGAACTGGTATTGCAACCGACGGAAAGAATAAGTTATTCAGGTAAAGAAATTCATAACAAACCACCCCACGACCGATTAATCTTTGACCGACTTAAAGAACGCGAATAAGTGACTATTGGAATAAAAAGCAACTTCTGTATAATACGCCGTATCTTCAAATCTACTTTCGAAGATGTTCTGCTTTGTATCCTATTTTTAACTCTGTTGTTTAACACTGTTTTTAAACTGTAACCTGTAGACAGGAGGCGGGTCTAGCGAAGCCCGTCTGTAGTTTGTCGGTGGAATAATACAGCTGTTGTGGTCTTTATAATGTTGATGATCATGAGTGAAAAGTTGTATTTATACAGCAATGTGCTTACGAAGTTTCTGACTTTTATTGATTTAGAGGTGCCCCGAGTCTCGACCTAATGTAATATCAACATAAGTCATTGCAAACATTCAATGTTTTCTGTAGCTTTATTGATTTGGTCCGGAAAATGTCACTATTCATGGGGGAAACCTTATTTACGCGAAATGATCAGAGAGAATTGTTGGACTTAGTGCAGGAACATATGACGAGGTTGGTTTCAAACAGACCAAAGGTTGATCTATAATTCAAGTAAATAAAATGTATGTGCGGAGAAACGACTCGTCAATTTCTGTTGTTATATTTTATCAATACAAATTTTGGTTGCCATGTTATAGGAACGTATTCTAACAGGTGCTGCTCCGTACATCAACACTACTTTGGGAGGTGTCTCAGCCAAACAGTACAATCTGTTGGGCTTCCTTCTGGAAGAAGTGTCGAACAACAATGTGTTTCAACTTAAAGATGAAAATGGTGAGTAATTTTGATAACCCCCTAATCAAGCATTTAAAAATTAAGTTTAAACTCCTCGATGTTCTCAATAAGTTCCTATGTTTTCCGCTAATTCAACTATGTTATATTAGGAATGGCTCACCCCTACTAGGCCTCCAAGTACGTCCAGTTTTAAGCTATAATATCATCGGTTTTTTTATTGTGATTGAAATTGTATGACTATGTTCAATTAGTTTGGTATGACAACGTGGGCCCTTCGAGTGATACTGTAGTTTTAAATAATATTATATTTACTCGCAATACTTTGTTTTTGATTTCAGTTATTGATTTTGACGATATATCTTAAGAATTTTAGGGCCAAATTTATAACGTTAGTTGTATTATTGGATTGCGAACGTCCCAATCACTACGTTGGCATTCACAGACTCATTTTTCATCGAACCTCCAGATGCTGCGAACACATAAATTGCAATATCCGACTTTCAGGTCTAGTTGTGACGTCTTCCTTTCATTGCTTACGGCAAATATTTCCTCGTCGTACAACACTATTTCAGGAATTATTTCAGTAAGATTTTTTCTACATGCAATTTTACTCATATTATATTGTTCAACTTCACAAGCTTGAGTTCTTCAAAGCTGCTTCTAGTTCACTGCAACTTGAACAAATGACAAACATACCGCTGAATTCAAGACATTTTATTGCATCAAAAAATAACATTGATACGAAGCATCAGGTATTGTTTTCCCTTCCAGAGGCCGTAGATTTTGTGGCAGACTCTCATGCATACATTGTACCCCATGAAGACGGCGGCTACACGGGAGTCTACTTCTTTTATTTCGACTTGGACTCTTGCCTCATCGACATCTCGTGCGGGCGGCACGTTCTCCTTGTGGCAAAATATGACTCCGTCGTTCATCACGTGTGTGCGTCTAAATCAGATATGACTTTCGTTCTGTTACTTGCTGTATAATATCCTTTTCTAATTAAAAAGTGACATTTCACCTAAAAAATCGAATTATCGCTCAATATGAAAACTTACAATTTTAGTTTATTTACGACCAGATCCGTGATGACATCAGCCCATTATTTATGCTCAGCGATGCTGAACTGAACCATCGTCACGCCGTTTAAGTTGAACGTAACAAGTTTCCGTGAACTCGAAATACGAGTTTCCACTTCTCCGTCCGGACCGCTTTCGTGCCGAGCAAAATACATGATACATTTTCTCTTGATGGAATAAAATCGATTTATTTCATTGCCTTCTCCTGAATTTCAGCCAAAGTATCTTCTGCATTTCTTTTTGCAGTAACAGAATGCGGGAAGATCATCCAAGTCCCTGCTGATCTCTCATCGGCCCTAGTCCTTTACTCGCATCCTGGCGTGGGCTGCAGGCCTTTCCCCGACGGCCCGCATTACAACTGCACCGTAACGTTAACTTCAGTTAAAACGATGAGCATCTCCTTTGAGAACGTTGACTTCATGGGCGCTACCGGGACCTGCGACGGCTATACGTTGAGCGTGAGGCACAATCCTAATGGCGCTCCAATAGAGAAGAAGTTATGCCTCGAAGATTTCTCGGTCAGTAATCTATGTTTGTTCTAGAAGAATTAATCCATTTGAGCCTTGTCTTTGGAACTTCAATTCCGCTGCATGGAACATCGAACGAAGCAACGCAGGGCTAGATAATTTCAAGCATTGCACATCGTTTCTGCCACCTTAACTTTGTTTCATATAAACTGTTGACAAAATGTTATATAATTTATATAATAGTAAATGTTATTAATTAAATTCTTAAATTATTATTAATTTCAGTTATTCGCTCAAATCACTAATGGTCAAACTTAAGTAATGATATGCCCTGATGAACGACCTTTTATCGACAGGGTGGAGACGGTGATGACATTGCAGTCACTTTGAGTGGCACTGCGACGAACAAAACAGCCAAATTGGGGTTTTTATTCAGGATTTGGATTGCTTAGTGGTTGGGCCGCTGTGTTCCAGTGGCAACCATCTGGCGATGGTGTGTCCCAGGGGCAACCACGCCTCTGACGGTGGTGTGTTCCAGTGGCAACCTACGTTCAAGTGGCTACCCAATTTCAAGTTCTGACAGGAATTAGTTGAAAAAATTATAAGCAAACTTGTTTGTTGATTGATTTCAATAAAGCCAAATTATTGAACCGCTGTGATATTTCTTGCGTCCCATCGAAAGCGGCACCGAAAAATTGGTTCCTTGTTCATACTTCTTCTTTATGCGCTTCAGAGAACAGATTCATGAAGCGAATGGAAAGCCTGACGCAAATGTACGACTAGAATGACGAGTGAGGTGCTGATTCTAGCACGACGTGATGAAAACATTTGGTGCAATGTCACAGAGAACGGAACCTTTTCGTTATTTGTGGCAGGCTAATTGAACACTTCAACTCATACATTCTTAGGACATATTTCAGAAAGAAAGAAATGAAACGTATGTGCTACGTTAGGCCCATTCGCGCGACAAGGTGTGCGGCTCACTGAGACGTACATGCAGTAAAAAGAAACGCACCGAACATCCTAAGCGACTAACACCTGCCATATCATCTTATTATTATTGAATAACACCTGCATTATTATCGCCGTTTTTCTATGTTATTTCTTGCCACTTGTTTCGTTGCCATGAACTGCTACGATGAGGAGAGCTCACAGAGACAGAGAGACGGCATGTTCTCCAGAAGGTGTCGTCAGCGGCCGTCATGCAGAGTGTTAGGTGGGGCCTGGCAATATGGGAGCAGCGTTAGTACGGGAACGTTATCCCTGAACCTTGATGGTCCGAACAAGTTGATCGCACTGCTAGGTTGCTTTTAATTTCCATTGAGTGTTCATTAGCGTGTAGGGCGAAGGGTTTTCATGAGCTTGACATTCCAGGAGCTTGACATTCCAGAAGTTTAAGGCATTTTTTTATTCAACGAACATCGTATTTTAAAATCATTCATCAAGGGATTGTTTGCGGGGAATGAATCACGATTATCGATAAATCCTTGACACTGTCATACCTACTAAATAAAGTGGAATTTGCGAAGGAATTCCAATAATTAGATAAGTAGAAACATTTTCAATTTTTTACATGTCTAAGAATCAAATCTAGCCGCACATTAAAAATATAATATAAGACCTTAAACAACCTCACTATTAGTCTAACAATTGTCTGAGAACAACGGCTACCCCGGAAATATTTACCAATGGATCTTAGTGGGTGCGATGTCGATTGGTGTGTGTTGATGCAGAACGTGGGAGATTCGACCATTCTGTAATTTTAGTCTATTTGCCCTAAATAGTCTTTACAGATACGCGGCAACCTATCGCCTGTGGGTTATCGCTGCCGGTCGTAGTAAATTATAGTTGTCTGCTCGACAGAGCAACCCTAAAAAATCATACGTAAACTTGTCGGTTGGCCATTTATTTTGTAAGAACAATAAATCGGAAATTAATAAACACTTCGATTAAACGTGAAACAGTTATTTGTGATTGTTTGATGAACACATAATAACTGATAATGTCAATTAGACAAGCTCAAGCTCTGAGATCTCAAAAGTTCAGGACACAAAGCACCGTGACGCTTTTGCTTAAGAATTATTAAATACTTTATAGGAGCCCAAGACTCAGCAAATCTAAGGTCTCGTTTCTTTTTCTGCAGCGCAATACTCACGTACCTTTTAATAGCGATTTCGACTATTTTGTCAAATATGATTCGTTTTTGGACCTTACAATAACGATTTCAGGATGACTTGCTCATTCTGACGTTGTTCTTCATACTGTATCTTGTAAAAATGCCCATTTATTGCATTCAAAAACTGTCACTGTTTGGTACAGTATCAGGCAGCCTGAGATTACTTTCTGCTTTCATTTGGATTCATTGTGGAATTGGCCAATTCTTAGCTATCTAGGTAACGTGTTGCAAGCATTCCCAACACAACTTCACTATCCATCATTTATCATTCAATCTTCATTCGACCTTATACCTTAAGAGGAGTTCACCATTATATAAAGTATGTACAAATATATCGCCTCCAACGCTCCTTCTGAAATATTCCAAATTGATAGAGAAGACAATAGGTATAGAATGATCATTGATTTTTCACGATGTAAAAATTTTTTATGATGTAGCGGGAGAAATATGCTACTTGAATATTGTTTTTGGGTTACTGTCCGCTGACCTTACCATTCGAGTACTGCTTAAATCAAGTCAAGGAATATTCAGGGGCCGAAAGCTATTTTAAAGTATTGAAAATAATTCCAACACATGACCCCGTTTTTATAAAAAATATAAATACATTAAAATGCAAATTGTCAGGCCGGTTTACATTCACAACCATCGTACAAAGAAAGTTTGCCGAACCTTGGAAACATAACATAATTGTTACGTTTGTACAGTGAATTCAAGTTAATATGTGTATAACAACGCTGGTAAGTCTATAGCTAGGGTCAGGCTACCTATTCGCAATCAGCTGCTTCCCAATAAAGATGCGTAAACTTCTTCTCTTTGGTCGTGGTTGGAGAGTTTAGGTTGCTCAACCCAAACGCGCAGCGTTACAATTAAGGGCGGTCAGAAGAGGGCACATGCCGTAGGCCAGCTAGACCTGATCAGGATGTGGTTTGTTGGGCAAAAAGAAACGACGATTTTGGTTTTATGGTTTTTACTTGCAGTCGTTGGCGACGTAAGCTGGGAATAAGATTTAAGTTACCCATAAAAATCAAGCAATATTTATAGCTTAAGATCAAGGAAGGATATACTACTACATTCCTACCCTATTTAGCGCACGTCGTCTTCTCTACACATATGAACTAAATAGGTTTTTAATTAATGAATGATGAAAATAGAATTTCTAATAAACTCTTTTCTTGGATATTATCATTGAAATTTTCCCATTTGAACAATACTGTTTTTTGTTTTAAGTAGAGAATTTCGTTCTAAATTTCCATTTTACTGAGAATTATTACGAAACATTTATTTACATTTATTTTTACGAAAGCATTACGGAACGGGAAAAACGGTTATATTAAAAAATATCATTAAGTCTTCAACTAACCATGAACACGATATAAAACTAACAACAAATCTATAAGTCGAAAATTTCTAGCGACGTTTTAATTTCCAATGACGTCAGGAAAAAGGTTGAAGAACCTTTCATGCTTTTTGGCTAAGAACAAAGCCATCGTTTATGTTAGAAACGCAATTCTTCAGCCTCGATCTTAAATTCTTAGCATTAACCGAACATGTACCATGTTCGGTTAATGCTAATGAATGTACCGTGATCATGATATCTGTGACCTTATGACCTTATGATGAGTTTAGGACGTCGTAGTCCATGGTCACGCTGATGCGCCGCCTTCGTCGTCCTCCGTCTCCGAGTCGTCGTCGGATGTAACGTTGGACGTGTTCCGTCTATTTGCCCTCCTTAATTTGGGCCACCTTGCCCTCCTTTGGGCCAGCTGATAAAGAATGAACCCGCAATCTATAGACAATCACATTGTCAAATTCATGCGCAGTTACTACACACAGAAAAATAGAGTGACTTTGTCCAAATAGCGATGTACTACTTGCTTTTCAGCAGATCATCCAGACCCAGTTTTGCTCGGCAGAAAGACATCCGTGCAAAGTACAGAAAGTGTCATTATTTAGACGACATAACCCATTCATTTTTCTGAGGGTATGCATTGGGGAGTAGATGGGCTTATGCGTCAGCTTCACTTCATGAAGCAGACTGAGAAGGAAAGACTTGCTTGAGATGTTCCTTGTCTTATCGATTGCGATCGATCTCAGCCGTTGAAAACTCGGCTGAGATTTTTTTTTTTGCTTCGGGAAAGTGAGGGTTGGGCTTTTCGCTATCTGTTGTATCGTGAGAAAACTTCTGATAATGCGATAAACCATGGGTCATTGAGGGTCATTATATGTAACCAAAAATTTTTTCGCTTTGTGAATAATTGTATTCAAAACATGTTAGGAAAGAGATAGTTAGGGCAACGTGGGGCAGCGCGCCTCCCACTTTTTTTAAACTAAATTTTTGATGAAGTTTTAATTGATACGAGGTGGTTCTTTGTTTTGTTTAAAGGTGCAACTAATGAGGAATGTATGATGTGAATTAGACGCCTATAGAGTTATTCAATTTTTTATGAAACACTATTTTGTAAAGAGAACACGGACCAATATCTGCCATACTTAGCGAGAAACCCGCTATGGGCCCGTGACCCGCAGTGGGCTCGCTGCCCCATGTTACCCTATCAAGCAGGGTAACGCAAATTGATTTTATACTGACTAATTTTGTACAAAATTGCTGTGCAATTTACGAATCTCCGCTTTCAATATGAAAAGAAATGTAAAAAGTAAAATTAAAAATTTACACCTGTACCGTGACTTCGGCATTATCGTGAACGTTGTTATCACGCCTCGTGTTACGCCCGGTCGGCAGTAGATCTCCAGACCCCATACCATGCAGTCGCACCCACTTATATACACTTAGCGCAAGACACACCACTGACATAGTCCTCCGCAATGTAACCAAAGCCTTTGACAAGGTTTGGCACACTGGACTCCAAATTCAGGATCATCCTACTCAACCTCCACAGAACCTTCACCAAAATACTATCAGACTACCTTACAGATAGAACAGCATCCATAAGAATAGAGAATCACACAGGGCCCCAATACAACTCCATACAAGTGTCCCCTATAAGGGGCTTGTCTCTCCCCCATACTATACAGCTTCTACATCCACGACCTCCCGCTTCTACATCCACGACCCAACTTTCAACATCCACGCTTTCTACATCCACGACTCAACACAGACTACATAGTTATGGCAGATGACATAACACAGATAACCGCAGGACATTACCAACATAACCACGCAGCAGTACAAACACAACACGTCATACAACTAATCCAAACATTTGAAAATAAATGTCTCATTAGGACAAACACAAATAAGTTGAAAATCATTCCCATAGGTAGGCAAAACACCTCCGACATCTTCATAGACAACACGCACTATCCATACACGAACAAAGATTTTTAATCCAGTATATCAGCAAGCCAACCCATTTTAGGGGTAAACAAACCACAAATATTTTAGATCTAGCATTTACCAGTGAAGAATCAATTTTAGATGAGCTTCGCCACGAGATTCCGTTGGGCA